GTCGAAATTAATCGAGTTGCAAAAATAAGTCTATCAAAAGTTGTAATTCATAGTATTTTTCATTCATTATATGCTAAAATTGACGTATGCCTAATATGCTTATAATGAATTGATTCGTCATTTTATCATGTCTGTGCCAAAATGAAAAAAATCAATCTCGTGTCAATTGACAGATGTGGTCAGGTTGAGAACAGCCTGCAATATATTTAGTGCTAAATGACAAATTATCTTCACGAGTCGTTCGTTCAACCGTAAAGTTCTGTAAATTTAATCCGATTCTGCCCTGTTTGCCAATAACTTTGGCCAATTTTTTTAAGGTGTTGGATGACATAAACACGTCTAGTTAAAGTTTGTAGTATTAGAGAGACAATTATATTTGAACGGTCGACGAATATTTACCTGTACCTCGAATACCAGTGTAAACTACACTGTCTGCACATACTTGTGTTAGACTGATATACGAGACACACAACTCCACAGTTTTGTATAGAAGGGGAACGTCCTTTTGTCGTTTTATTCAGATACAACGGTTAGTTAGGGCAATTAAAATCACGTTGTTTTTTTCACCGTGGAAAGCAAGCACTGTGTGTATATTTGAACCGTTTGGCCAGATATTTTATAGTTCGTGAACAATACTTGATTTGAGTATGCTTACCTTCGCTGTTGATATAAGGGTATAATTAAAAACATGTTGATTATCAAAAAACACGTTGACGACTTTTCAACAGTGAAATCAATCAACAGAAGATCCGGAGACCAATGTTTCTGATTGGGATCGGGTCAGTTTACTGGGATGCGGTTTTGGCAAAAGATCTCGTTATCATACAGCTTGATATCGCGATAGATCTGTAGAGCTGTCACAACACAAAAACAAGAGGACAAGGGCATATGACTGAAGTGCTTGCAACTTCTGAATCCTGTTGTTAGGTCCCGGAAACAAGAAACCTTGTATCAATTCTGTTACAATTTAACGATGACATATTTTTAGGTCACCTGAGACAAAGTGTTAAGTGACCTATTGCGATCGCCTTTTGTCCGGCGTCGTCCGTCGTCGTCCGTCGTGCGTCGTACGTCCGTAAACAATTTACATTATCGACTTCTCCAAAACCCCTTAAACAATTTCAATGAAATTTTTGCAGAAACCTTCCTTGGCCAAAGGTCAACCAAAATTGTGAATTATATGGTCCCCAGCACACAGGGGCCTGAGGGGCGGGGCCAAAAAGGGTCAAATTGACTAAAATTTCTCATGTTTCCCCCGGGGGAGGGGGTAAACTTTACTATAATTTATATAGGGAAATCACATTTTGGACCAGCATTTGTTTAATTTCCATTGGAATTAATTCAAACTTGGTTAGCATTATCAGTATTGGATATCAGTTTGATGATATGCACAAATCAGCCCTGACTGACCGTCACCCAGGGGTTGATGGGCGGGGCCAAAAAGGGTCAAATTGACTAAATTTTCAAAAATCTTCTTCTCAAGTTCCAGATATGGTAGAATCAAATACTCTTCATAGATGGAAGGGTCTTAAGGTGCTTTAGCAAAATTGTGAATTTCATGACCCTTGGGTCTCGCGTTTCCCCCTAGGGAGGGGGTAAACTTTACCATAGTTCAATTGTGAATTATATGGTAAATGGTCCCCAGCCCCCAGGGGTCTGAGGGGCGGGGCCAGAAAGGGTCAAATTGACCAAAATTTAAAAAATCTACTTATCAAGATCCAGATATGGTAGAATCAAATACTCTTCATAGATGGAAGGGTCTTAAGCTGCTTTACCAAAATTCATCTGACTGACAGAACCATTATTTGTACATAGTACATATACTACCACCTTTCACACTACTTTTGCATTGCATGTAGTTCAAGTTACCTTTGTTACAAAATGAGTTCTTTTTTCATTTGGCAACATCGATAACATCAGTTTTTACATAAATCAGGTGACCATTAAGGCCCATGGGCCTCTTGTTTTCAAAACTATAGAAATGTGTCTGTTAGACACGGATGCACCGCTTCCTGTTTGGCCGTACACGCTGTTAATTGGGGCGTGTGCTATTTTTAGCAAGTAAAAAATCACATTTTAGTGTATATCGAGTACTTATTAAATTTGAGTACATTTTCAAGAAAAATAGAACAGAAGTCGCATCAAACTTGTAATCGGACATCACAAACTTGTAATCGAACATCACAAACTTGTAATCGGACATTACAATTTTTCCCACAAATGCATAGTTATATCACTAATACGATTACATGCGAAACTCCGACAGAATTTTAGATCCATGGCTATAGTCTCTGGGCTATAAATAACTTCCTGTCAATCAGAAGACGTCTCGATGTTGAAATTACTTTTTGATAGCTCGTTGATGGTTCTTAACTTACGACGATAATTATAATCTATCAAGTGTAGGTCATTTCGACCGAACAGGTCAACATGAGTAGGCCAATGGAAGGCTGCGACTTAGTCAGTTAGATTTCTTAATATGTCGTCAACAAAAAAATAACAGGCTGCATCTGGCACACACAAACAATTTGGCCTGGATTCCGACAGATAATTTATAAGTTTTCAATTAATGGAAAGACACGATCGTGAAGGACTGGTAATTAGTTTCAGTAATTAGGGACAGCCATTAATGTGAGGAAAGTCACGGACGGAACAGGCGACACAAACTAGCACTGGCGCCATTTTACCCAGAACACCGCGTTTAAGTACATGCTTACTTTAATTGACTGAGGTGGTCCGAATGGAACCTTTACGGACATGCAGTTTATCTGACGTAGAGCGTATGTGACGTAACAGAAGATTTCCCGCGGGAAGGAGGGGAAATGGGTAGGGAATGTCAACTGACAATGATATTCCCTCCAACATGTTAGGTAAACAATTGGGAACATCACTAGGATTCGCAACTTGATCAAGCTTGTAGCTGAAGTAATTATATTCAGTCCCTAGTCCTATGTTGTTACTCACTGGGGAAGTAATTATATTCAGTGTCTAGTTCTATATTGTTATTCCATAGGGAAGTAATTATATTCAGTGTCTAGTCCTATATTGTTATTCCATGGGGAAGTAATTATATTCAGTGTCTAGTCCTGTGTTGTTATTCCATGGGGAAGTAATTATATTCAGTCTCTAGTCCTATATTGTTACTCCATAGGGAAGTAATTATATTCAGTCTCTAGTTCTTTGTTGCTATTCCATATACAAATTTATTCCTGTTTACATTTGTCTGCATTCTTTCTGGAATTTCATTGGAATCTTATTATTGACGTAAGTAAATCATGCTGTTCCGGCATCGTATTTCCGGTTTTGTTCGTAATATATGAATGCATACACTTCACATGTTGCATGTTGTAATTTTTGTTCTGAAATTTTATAACTCGATGTGTACAGCTTGTTTTTAACGCTATCTGTTCTACGTTTTGTTTGTATTATTTTTTATCACTCGTTTTTTAGGTCACCTGAGCTTTGCTCAAGTGACCTATTCTAATCGCTTTCCGTCCGTCGTCGTCCGTCGTGCGTAAACTTTTTACATTTTCAACTTCTGCTGAAGAACCAGTTGAAGGATTTTTTTCAAACTTGGTCAGAATCATCCTTGGTAGATGAGGCTACAAAATTGTAAAATGGGAATTCCTACCCCAACCCTAGGGGCTAGGGCGGTGCCCCAAAGGGAAAATTAACCAATATTTCAAAAATCTTCTTCTCCAGACTCAGAGGTACTACAGTCATTTTCTCTGCATGGAAAGAAAGATCACCAGGGACTTTACTTAAATTGTAAATTGCAGGACCCACGAGCTATTCGTTCTCCCCTGGGGAGGGGGTAAAGTTTACTATAGTTTATATAGGGAAATAACACTTTTGGGTATATTTTGACAACTTTCTGTAGGAAATTATTTTTACTTGGTGAGAATTATCCTTGGAGGAAGATGGTTTCAAATTGTAACATTGAAATTCCTACCCCAACCCTAGGGGCCAGTGCGGGGCCCCAAAGGGAAAATTAATCAATATTTCCAAAATGTTCTCCTCCAGACTCAGAGGTACTACATTCAGTTTCTCTGCATGGAAAGAAAATCATCAGGGGCTAATCGTAAATTTCAGGACCCCCGAGCTATCCGTTCTCCCTTGGGGAGGGGGTAAAGTTTACTATAGTTTATATAGGGAAATAACACTTTTGGGTATATTTTATCCATTTTCAGCAGAAAATTACTCAAACTTAGTCAGAATCATCTTTGGTGAATGAGAGTATTACTGTGTAAAATTGGGATTCCTGCCCCCTCCCCAGGGGCTAGGGCGGGGCCCCAAAGGCAACATTTACCAATATTTTCAAATTCTTATCCTTTGATGACATGACAAGTATTGTATTTCACTTAGTTTACATGCTGATATCCACATCACATCTAAACAATAAAATAAAGCTACCAGTATCTATGATATAACTCAGGTGACCGCTAAGGCCCTTGGGCCTCTTGTTTAGAAATGTTGTGACTATTTCCTGAAATCATTTCAAGTCTCGTAAACGTCGCTATGCATTATATCACGATACGAATTTTGTTATTAACACTGATGTAACATTTGCAAGAAAAGTTGAAAATTTACGACTGGCAAATAAGCATACTCGATACCAGCCTTGGGATAAATCATACCCAAGCCTCTTATTTTTCATAATCATTAACTTAGTGCTGGAAATTGCGATTTAAATATAAATGTTAAATAATTCGCACATGTAAAAAATGTCAAAATAACTTTGAATTGCAAATCATTTCACGCTGTTTCAGATCGAATTTCTTTAACCTCTCTTTCGATTTCAGACCTCATGACTTTGAAATGTTTACCTCATGACTTTGAAATTCGTACAAAAATTATTCGGCGTATGTGCATGTAAGGTATATGTAAAGAATAATGCATTTAATTTAGCGCGAGAATAACACAAATAAAAATAGCGGTAAGTATGATGGATTGACAAGAAAATTATAAACATTTTTTTTCTGTGACAGTTTTGCCGATAGATGGCGGTTGGAGTGAGTGGGGCGCGTGGAGCACGTGTTCAGTGACGTGTGCCATGGGGAAGAGAAGCCGGTACAGGTCCTGTAGCAGCCCCGCCCCGGCGTATGGAGGGCAGTTCTGTAATGACTATCCCGTCCAGTTCGAACCCTGCTTCTCTCCATGTCCTGGTTTGTATAAAATACTATTTTGTTTTGTTTGTTTTTGAATTAGTGTAATCACAACAGCTAAAGAAGGGTGCCTCGCGAGATCTATACCGCCGAGAAGTAAGGGTAGTGAAGTGAGAAAAAAGGATCTAGGCCCAAAGATTTACATTTGGGGTAGCAGATCAGTTTGTTTCTTCAGTGTCCCCTATGACAGAGGGCAAAGGGGAAAGTCCACGACTCTTTAGGGGAGGTACACATTCGTCGCCTCTTACGACAGGTGCGGTGGGATAAAGCGGATCTATTCTTTTCAATATCGCTTAGAATTTTTGCAATGGTCGAGAAATGAAAATCTGTGAACAGCAGGTGACTTTCTGTATTTGCATTGTCAGTATCGAGTAGTTTTGTTGTGTTTAGTCTTAAAAAATTAATTGTTTTTGTTTGTTTCTGTTATCCATACGGTAACGGATCACCGACGGGTCGGGACCCAATAATAGTTTCCCTAGAATTTCTTTTACTGGCTTAAAATTATGTCTGATACAATGTACTAAACAATACTCTCAAAAAACAACCTGTTGATTCCGATCAGACTGTTTGTTTTACAATCCCTCTGCCAAACAATCTGTATCCCTTATCCGTTTCAAAGTGTGCCTGATTCACAAGATGGCCGATTTATCCTGATAATAAAGCTTTCTATTAGCAACTTGGTCTCCTAATTTACAGATTTACGACAAGTGGGAAGGATTTTTATGGCAAATCACTACATTTTTTTTTCATTTGTGGAGAAATTCGTTGATTTCGGCACAATATTTTTTACTTTTTTTGGTCAAAAATGAAAATCCATAACGCTTTCTACAAAATCTAACATCTAATGGGAGTTTTGTCGTATTGTGTGCGATTATCGATCGTACAGATTTAGTTTATCGACTTCGAGTGTTGGTACACGGATTTGCAATATAATGACCGAATTGAATTGAAAAGCAGTGGAGTAAAGTACTTAAAGTGTATAACCAGAGTTGCATTGGTATACTCATAGGCCGACTGCAAAACCCCGACCATGACCTACTGCTGATGAATACTGGTGTTGGGATGTATGGCTGATCAATGACTTCACCATCAGCATTAGTGTAATACCCATGCACGGCTGTCACCTGTTTGGCTCGCATGTCGATACATAATTAGCGCTGGGGTTATAACGCGATCAAAATCTGAATCGTTGAGGTGTTTTGGGGAGCCAAGGTTCACACGCGCTCAGGAATTTCAGTCGAACTTAGAATCTAAACTGGAATTCATCATTGATATAATTGTAACTGTTGATAGATTATAAATTACGGCTGTTTAATCAAATGATTGTTGGATATTGGTCTATAGCAATACCCTATCTATATGCAATCGTTTAAAAGACCCCTTATAATTTTTTATTTACTTTTTGAGGTACAATTTCTTTTACAACGTAGTATATATATAATGCCAGTTTCGAACCATCAAGGGCACTGGATAACCTCACGTAGTTTTTTCCACCCTCCACAGGCTTCGCTTCGAAAATATAAACTATTATTATCAAAGAGCGCAGCCTAGCGGAGAGTAATGGTACAAAGACAGGTAGCCCAGTCTAAACAATTTAGTCGCTTGTAACTAACAAGGGGCATATGTTACAATGGTGACACATCTAGTCACTTGTTACTGTTTCGGCTTGATGTCACAGCGGCGAACTTTCTAGTCACTTGTTACTGATTCGGCTAGATGTCACAGCGGTGAACTTTCTAGTCACTTGTTACTGATTCGGCTAGATGTCACAGCGGTGAACTTTCTAGTCACTTGTAACTGATTCGGTTGGATGTCACATCGGCGAACTTTCTAGTCACTTGTTACTGATTCGGCTAGATGTCACAGCGGTGAACTTTCTAGTCACTTGTTACTGATTCGGCTAGATGTCACATCGGTGAACTTTCTAGTCACTTGTAACTCATTCGGCTAGATGTCACAGCGGCGAACTTTCTAGTCACTTGTTACTGATTCGGCTTGATGTCACAGCGGTGAACTTTCTAGTCACGTGTTACTGATTCGGCTAGATGTCACAGCGGTGATCTTTCTAGTCATTTGTTACTGATTCGGCTAGATGTCACAGCGGTGACCTTTCTAGTCACTTGTTACTGACTCGGCTAGATGTCACAGCGGGGAACTTTCTAGTCACTTGTTACTGATTCGGCTTGATGTCACAGCGGGGAACTTTCTAGTCACTTGTTACTGATTCGGCTTGATGTCACAGCGGTGGACTTTCTAGTCACTTGTTACTGATTCGGCTAGAGGTCACAGCGGTGAACTTTCTAGTCACTTGTTACTGACTCGGCTTGATGTCACAGCGGTGAACTTTCTAGTCTCTTGTTACTGATTCGGCTAGATGTCACATCGGTGAACTTTCTAGTCACTTGTCACTGATTCGGCTAGATGTCACAGCGGCGAACTTTTTAGTCACTTGTTACTGACTCGGCTAGATGTCACGGCGGTGAACTTTCTAGTCACTTGTTACTGACTCGGCTTGATGTCACAGCGGTGAACTTTCTAGTCACGTGTTACTGATTCGGCTAGATGTCACAGCGGTGATCTTTCTAGTCATTTGTTACTGATTCGGCTAGATGTCACAGCGGTGACCTTTCTAGTCACTTGTTACTGATTCGGCTAGATGGCACAGCGGGGAACTTTCTAGTCACTTGTTACTGATTCGGCTTGATGTCACAGCGGTGGACTTTCTAGTCACTTGTTACTGATTCGGCTAGAGGTCACAGCGGTGAACTTTCTAGTCACTTGTTACTGACTCGGCTTGATGTCACAGCGGTGAACTTTCTAGTCTCTTGTTACTGATTCGGCTAGATGTCACATCGGTGAACTTTCTAGTCACTTGTTACTGATTCGGCTACATGTCACAGCGGTGAACTTTCTAGTCACTTGTTATTGATTCGGCTAGATGTCACAGCGGTGAACTTTCTAATCACTTGTTACTGATTCGGCTAGATGTCACAGCGTTGAACTTTCTAGTCACTTGTTACTGATTCGGCTTGATGTTACAGCGGTGAACTTTCTAGTCACTTGTTACTGACTCGGCTTGATGTCACAGCGGTGAACTTTCTAGTCACGTGTTACTGATTCGGCTAGATGTCACAGCGGTGACCTTTCTAGTCACTTGTTACTGACTCGGCTAGATGTCACGGCGGTGAACTTTCTAGTCACTTGTTACTGACTCGGCTAGATGTCACGGCGGTGAACTTTCTAGTCACTTGTTACTGACTCGGCTAGATGTCACGGCGGTGAACTTTCTAGTCACTTGTTACTGACTCGGCTAGATGTCAGAGCGGTGAGCTTTCTAGTCACTTGTTCTGATTCGGCTTGATGTAACAGCGGTGAACTTCTAGTCACTTGTTCTGATTCGGCTTGATGTCACAGCGGTGAACTTTCTAGTCTCTTGTTACTGATTCGGCTAGATGTCACATCGGTGAACTTTCTAGTCACTTGTCACTGATTCGGCTAGATGTCACAGCGGCGAACTTTTTAGTCACTTGTTACTTATTCGGCTAGATGTCACAGCGGTGAACTTTCTAGTCACTTGTTACTGACTCGGCTAGATGTCACAGCGGTGAACTTTCTAGTCACTTGTTCTGATTCGGCTTGATGTAACAGCGGTGAACTTCTAGTCACTTGTTCTGATTCGGCTTGATGTCACAGCGGTGAACTTTCTAGTCACTTGTTACTGATTCGGCTTGATGTCACAGCGGTGAACTTTCTGGTCACTTGTTACTAATTCGGCTTGATGTCACAGCGGTGAACTTTCTAGTCACTTGTTCTGATTCGGCTTGATGTCACAGCGGTGAACCTTCTAGTCACTTGTTACTGATTCGGCTTGATGTCGCAGCGATGAACTTTCTAGTCACTTGTTCTGATTCGGCTTTATGTCACAGCGGGGAACTTTCTAGTCACTTGTTACTGATTCGGCTTGACGTCACAGCGGTGAACTTTCTGGTCACTTGTTACTAATTCGGCTTGGTGTCACAGCGGTGAACTTTCTAGTCACTTGTTACTGGCTTGTCTAGAGGGATGATACAGGTGCAAACCATTTAGTCACGTGTATGTATTATTACTTACTCAGCTAGAGGTATGTCATATTGGTGAATCATCTATTCACTTATTAATGACTCGGCTAGAGGTACGTGTATGTCACAATTTTAAACCATTGCGTCGCTTGTTACATTTGTACGGTAGCTGTATGTTACAGCGATGAACCGTCTAGTAGTCACCGAGTAGACTCGATTAGAGGCACGTTACCATTGATTCAGCCCAATGGACGTTTCTATGTTACAGTGGTGATGAACCATTAAGTCGCCTAGAGACACTTATATCGACAGAGAATAGGAAGTCCTGTGTTCGACTCCTACCGGAGTCACTTTTAAGAAGGTGACTATTATCAAATAACCATAACAGTAATCAGGATTTCTGAAAAAATGCAAATGCTGCACTTCTTAAATCATAATCAGTCATCACTTATAACCAAAACAGCTTCTATACTAATTTCTACCTAACACTTCGGTTCGAACGTCTGTGGCACAGCTTATTGAGCAATATAGGCTAGGGTTGACGAAACCCTTTAGACAGTGCTACGTTACGGTGTACATTTATAGGAAACACAGACTATATATTAAATTGGCAATGCGTCATAAAACAACATACTTGTTTAGAAAATCATGAATTTTAATCCTATTTGGTCTGAATAGACAAGATTTTAGTTAACCTAACACAAACATATCGTGTTGCTCGGGGCCCTTGATAATAGCGTTTTATAGATGTAACGCGCTTCCCGGTGTGCTAACTCTGATTAAAGCTAACGTGATACCGTTTGAGATCGGTGGTGATACAACGTTGATGAAAGGCAGATATTACATACAATGATATCGGAGAAATCAGATATTCTTCGATTATTAAAATTTTGATAAACAAGCTGGGTGTTTTTGATGTTTGTTCTTCAAGATAATCATTAC